CCATCCACCCACCCATCTTCCTCAACCAGATAAAGATGGGAAGCAACTTTCAGACCTGGAAAGCACAGAACCCTTTCTGAGTATTATTAGTCGGACTAGTTGGTGTTGATCTTGGTGAATCCCAAGCTTCGTCTCAGAATCTGTCTCATGGCGGATATCAAATGAACAGTTGGATCAGATGGAGGAGACGATGACTTGAACTTCTTCCTGAAACTCATGTGTCTAGCCATGGCTTCTTCTGTGCTAATAAGCCTCTCCGCCCTTATAATTTCATCTTTAACAGCTTCTGCACATAACCCACATATCCATTTTCCCTGATACCTTTCACGAACTCTTTCTATATACCCTGGTGTACATTCCTCTGTCAATCCACAGCTCTCGCACTTGGCAAATTCCACTTCGTTTATCTGCGCCGCCACCAGCTTTGTCCCCGCCGCCTGACTTTCTCCCGCCGCCGCTGTTGAAACCACCATTAATGGGTCACTCAGTATTGTTGCAGACATTGCCGGTGAATCTGCAAATCATACGCGTCTGGCCAAATTAATATGGTTTTACCACAAATCTTGATATTTGTTGTTAGTTGGTTTTTCTTGTTTTAGCAGCAAATAAAGCTGTCAACTTTATTTTCTAGATCAAAATGGACTTTTCTCTTTCCATTTTCCTTTTGCTAAAAAAAGCCAAAGCCCATGTGGTTGGAAAAATTTTCTAAAGATGGTTTAATTTTTGCTTTCCCCCATCTAAAAAATCATATTAATCTCTCTTTCTCTCTCCCTCCCAAATCTCAGAGAAGAAGAGAGGGAGAGAAAAGGATACTTTTGGTTCAAGTAAAGGAAAAGAAGAAAAAGATGAAACTTGCTGAATTCAATCAAAAAAGATTCACCCTTTAAAACGACAACTACAAAGAAAGAAGAAGAAGAAGAAGAAGAAGAAGAAGACGAAGAAGAGAGATTACCAGCAGAAGCAGATGATGATTCTTTCTTCTGTAACTCTGTATCGTTCACTACTTCTGCTATGTTGGATTTAGAGAAAATCTTCTTCAACGTATATAGAAGATGTTATCTTTCTTTCTCCCACTCTCCTTCTTCTGGTTTTCCTTCTTCACCAAAGAAAATCTCACACATTAAAACCATTTCAAACACAAACAAAATCCTCTTCCTCTTCTCCAAAATCCCAGAACGAAACCAACAACTGTCCACTGAAAATACCAGACAAAATTCTCCACTGAAAAGCAGAACAGTACTGAAACGGCGGATGGAGAGAGAGAGAGAGAGAGAGAGAGAGCGAGAGAGAGAGAAGAGTAAGGAGAGAGAAGCCAATGATTGAGGCTTTAAAGGAGAGAGTGAAACCGTAGTATGGTCCACGTAAGCAATCCTTGCTGGCAGTAAATCACGGCCGTTGATTTTCTAATTGCCAGCTAATGATGATCGTGTTCGGCGACTCCATCTCCATTGTCCGGCGAAATTTTATAATGTAGACTTCTCTTAACCAATCAGAGACCACCACATGCCCACCTCAAAACGTGTAAGGTTCTTGTGTTTTTCAAGTATTAATTTCCTTTTATTTTTTAATTTGATT